CGGGCGGCGCCCTTGGGACCTCCGATTTAGCCTTCACATGAGGCCGCGATCCTCGTGATGGTTGTGCCGAAGTAGATGGTTCGGACGCATGCTGGCGGCGCCCCTGGGGCTTTCGGTGGAGCCCCCCCCCATGTGGCCGCGATCCTTGTGAGGGTTGTGCCGACATGGGTGGGTCGGACGCATGCGGGCGGCGTCCGTTGCAACCTTCGGCGGAGCTCTTTAAGGGGCCACGATCCTCGTGAGGGGTGTGCCGAATTCAGAGGGTCGGGCGCATGCGGGCTGCGCCACTGACCCATGGGCCCGAAATCGGCGGGGGAGGCTCGTGCGAGGACGGCCGCAGGGACCTTCGGTGGAGCCCCCTTATGTGGCAGCGGAGCGTTTGCGGGGTGTGCCGAATTTGGTGGGTCGGACGCGCGCGGGTGGTGCCCTTAGGACCTTCGGTAGAGCCTATCTATGAGATCACGATCCTCGTGATGGGTGTGCCGAAATCGGTGGGTCATACGCATGCGGGCGGCGCCCCTGAGACCTTCGGTGAAACTGTTTATGTGGCCGCGATTCTCGTGAGGGGTGTGCCGAAATGAGTGTGACGGGCCCATGCGGGCGGCGCCCCTGGGACCTTCGGTGGAGCCCCGTCTATGTGGCCGCGATCCTTGTGAGGGGTTTGCCGGAGAGGGTGGGTCGGACGCTTGCGGGCGGCGCCCCCTGTAACTTTCGGTGGAGCTCCGTATGGGGCCACGATCCTCGTGAGGGGTGTGCCGAATTCAGAGGGTCGGGCGCATGCGGGCGTCGACCCTGGGACCGTCGGCGGAGCCCCCATTATATTAAAGGGGCCACAATCCTCGTGAGGGGTGTGCCGCGACGCCACTGTGGCCTTCGGTGGAGCTCCCCATGGGGCCACGCAACGTGTGAGGGGTGTGCCATATTGATGCTGCTGACGATGATGCTGATGCTGATGATGATGACGGTGATGATGATGATGATGATGTTGATGATGATGATGATGATGACGATGATGGTGATGGTGATGATACTGATGATGATGTTGATGATGATGATGATGCAGATGATGATGATGATGATGATGATGATGATGATGATGATGATGATGGTGGTATTGATGATGATGATGGTGATGCTGAGGATGAGGATGCGGATGAGGAAGCCGATACAGATAATGACGCGGATGAAGATGATGATGATGAGGATGATAATGATGATGCGGATGAGGATGAGGATGGCGATGGTGATCGTGATGGTGATGGAGATGGAACGGGTATGAATGATACTGAGTATGGTGATGATTGCAATGATGCTTGATGATGATGATGATGATGTTGATGATGATGATGATGATACTGATGATGAGGATGATGATCATGTTGATGATGATACTGATGATGAGGATGACGACGATGACAGTAACGACGAACACGATGACAATTATGATGATGCTGATGAATGTGATGTTGAATGTGACGATGATACTGATGAGGATGCTGATGATGATGCCGATGCTGATGATATGATGATGATGACGATGATGATGATGATGATGATGATGATGCTGACGATGATGATGATGATGATGATGATGATGCTGATGATGATGATGATGATGATGATGATGATGGTGATGCTAACGATGACGACGACGATGATGATGATGACGATGATGATGGTGATGATGATGATGATGGTGATGATGATGCTGATGATGAAGAAGGATATGCTGGCATTCAAAAAACAGAGTCGAATAGCATAGGCAGGGACTTGAGGGAGGAGGAGGGACAGGAGGAGGCGGAGCAGGAACGCGGGGCGCTGTATCTTCAAAACAAGGGCACAAGACCACAGGATGGTTGGGAAATACTATGCCCCAGGGATTATTATCAGGGCCACAGGGTTAGGCTCGTGTCGTATCGACCGGCGGCGACCCCGCCGAGTCGCGTTCAACGTTGAGCTCCAGTGGCGGCCCAGAATGGGCCGATGTTGTGCGATCCGACGTTTCGGAAGCCCCCGATCGTTCCAGGTTGAACGACCCCCGCGGTGTCAGGAACCAACGCTGGGGCCGTCACGACACGAACCTGCCGTACTCGGACGGGGCTAGGACAAGGATAATTCCGTCCCAGAGCCGTCCGGAACGCTCTCGAAGCGTTCCGGAGCGCTCTGAGAAGGCCGCGGTGCTCGCGGTGCGGAAGAGGGGGGTCGGGAGTGCCCGCTCCTTCCGCTGGCCCCCTTCCCCCCCGTTTCGTCTTCATTCTCGGAGGCCCCTGGAAGCGTCCAGATTCCCCGAGGGTCTTCTTGAGATCCACTTGTCCCAGGTCGCTGCCATCCCCCTTCCATCACGCCTCGGCTCCTCCACGATGTCCACCTGTGTGTGGGGCGGGCCACAGCCGTGCGCGGAGGCCGCTCCCCAGAGAGACACCCCCAACACTCCAGCACTCCAGCGTCCTTCCCCGTGCTTCCAAGGGAAGCTGCGGAAGGGCGTTCTTGCACGATGAGCGTGAACGCTCTGCCCCCCCCCCCGCCGCACGGTCTCTCCCACCTTGTTCGGTGAGGCTGGAGATATCATGGCATGGCGCAGGCAGAATGGCAGGCTCCTCCCCTTGCTCCCCGGACCAGGGGGATAGCGCGGGATAGCTGGGGGGAAGATTGAGTCCTCGACCACTTGCACTTCTGACAAAGCTCCAGGCCCGTGAGAGCCACCAGTATGACGGCACCGCGCGTCCTGGTTCTCCCTCCACCCCCCTCCCCTCACCATGGGGTTCGCAGCCTTTTGCCAATACTGCCAGACGTTCAAATGATGCCCATTTGGGGTTCAGCAGGGGTTCCAGTTTTTGGGCCGCTCCTCAGATCTGTGTCGGGGGGCTTTTTCGTGGCCGAGGCTTCTCATGGCCGCATGCGCCCCTTCTTTCCTCGTCCAGCGTGCCTTACGGCAGCTCGCATCGCGATGACTGTAGCGCAGCCTCGCCCACACGCGTGGCGTCTGCGCCACCAGGGGGCCCCAACGGACCCCCGGGGCGCCGGCCGCGTGCGAGATTCGGAGGGCCTCCGAAGGCCCGCCCAAAGGGCCGCCAAAGGCCCCTGGCGACCCCACCACGCCCCAGGGCGTGCAGTAAAATGAAATGCACGCCCCAGGGCGTGCAGTACAGTGCGCAAACTCCCAAATCAAAAACTTTCCAATGAAGCTGTCCTTCATATTATTCTCTCTTTGTTTTTTATATATTATTATTAATACTATTTATTATTATTATTAGTATTATTATTAGTACTATTATTATTGTTATTATAATTGTTATTATTATTATTTGTTTTTGTTTTTTTTTATAAAAAAAAACTTGGGAGGGGGCGCCCAGGCCGGCGCCACAGGGCGCACCGCGCGAAGAGGTTGAGGGGGCCAGGCTCCAGGGCCGGGCGCCGCGACGGCGGCCCACGCAGCCGCGGCCGCGGCGCCGACGCGGCCGCCGGTGACGAGGACGTCGGGCAGCCGCGGCGGTGGCTCTGCCGACCCGCGATGGCGGAGGCGGTGGCGGCGGCAAGGAGAGCGACGATGAGTTCTGCCTTTCGTGGACCCTGGAAACGGCAGGGCCGCTTTTTTACCGGTTCCGTTTTACCGTTTTTTGCCGGTTCCGACGCCGTTATTTTCCGTTTTGCCGTTTTTTGCCGGTTCCGACGCCGTTTTTGTTGCCGGTTCCGTCGCCGTTTTTTTACCAGTTCCGGCTCCGGTTCCGATCCTGGAGCCGCTTTTTTTCCGTTTCCGGTCGCCGTTTTTTGCCGTTTCCATTTTCAATGGACATTTTTTTGGAAACGGTGAAAAAACGGCCCTGCCGTTTCCGGGGCCCACAAAGGTGTTCTGCCCGTCTCTGGGCGTTCTTGAGCCTTCCTGGGCTTCTGGAGGCGCCCGCGACGGCGACAACGGTTTCGCTGCGGAGTTTCTCTGGCGTTTTTGGAGGTTCTCGTCGCCACAGCTGGACGCAGCTCGAGGACACAGGACGGTCCACAGGGGTCTCGGGGGGGTGATTCTGAGCGGACTTTGGTCGGACGACGGCGAGGGCGGGGACGGGGACGAGGACGATAAGGAGGAGGACGATGACGAAGAGGCGGATGAGGAGGAGGAAGAGGACCACAACGACGAGAACGGTGGGACGACGAGGTTGGCTCCGCCCCCTCCAATTGCCATTGGTGATGGGGCGCCCTTGCCTGACGGTCTGCCCGTGCAGGGCAGGTGTGCGAGGGCCCCCCGTGGAATCTCGAGCACCCCCGGTGGAGCAGGCGAGAGTCGGGGCTTGCAACAGATTTTCATTCTAGGCCTCCGAGATGGGGTCGGAGTAGATGGGGTCGGAGGATCGAGCCGCATCGCCGGTGCATCGGCGATGCGGCTCGATGTGGAGCCCGACTGGCTTCACGTCGACGTCGCCGATGCATCGCCGATGCGTCGGCGATGCGGCGCGATCCTCCGACCCCCATCTACTCCGACCCCATCTAGGAGGCCTTTATTCATGGCCCAGGGTGTCCGTAGGTCCCCGCGCCGTTTTGGGGTCCCAGCGCTGGGGCCCCCTGTGCCTCGTGAGGCGTGCTCTGGAGGCCGTGGGGGGCCTCCTCGGAAGTCCTCGGGACACCCTGTGCCCAGGGCACCTCGTGGCAGCACCGGCAGGGGGGAGGGGGGGCGGTCGAGGGGGGCCAACGCCGACGCAGCCGCCAGCGGCAGCACAGTCGACGGCGACGACGACGACGACGACGACGACGACGGCGACGACGACGACGACGACGACGTCGACATCGTCGACATCGACGACCACGACCACGGCCATGACCCTCACGACGACCACGACGGCGCGACGGGCCTGCGCGACGCTCGACGAGCGACGCTACCGCAGTCGACGTCATCGCCGTCATCGCTGGGTCGGCGTCGCCCGCCGTGCATCACCGCGCCGCCGACGGCGGCGGCGGCACCCACCGCGCCGACGAGCTCCGCCGGCGGCGGCGGCAGCGCCGCCCGCCAGGCGTGCCGTCGAGTCGCCCGCCGCCCGCGGGGCGTGGCGGAGGCGATGCACCCGCTGGGCGCCGGGCCGCACGTGGTCGCGAGCCTGGCGGCTCGCTGCGAAGCTTCCTCCCCTATAGTGTTCTGCCCCAGCCCTCCTTTCGCCCCCCCCTTTGGCTCCCTCCCCTCCTTCCCTCCTCCACCCTCCTCCACTCTCCCTCCTCCACTCTCCCTCCTCCACCCTCCACTCTCCCTCCTCCACTCTCCCTCCTCCACCCTCCTTCCCTCCACACTCCTCCGCTCTCCCTCCTCCTCATCTCCCTCACCCTGAGCGGATTGGCTGAGCAGGGGGCTTCTCTGCGCACTTGCGTTCCCTCCCCATTGCCGGGCTCTGCTGCGATGGATGGTGGTGCAGGCCCGCATCCTGTGCCTCCGGGGGCTGCTGGAGCAGGCTTCGGGGGTCAGGCTGGTCGTCACCTCCGCCGCGCACCCCCGGGTTGCACCGAGTGGTCACGGTGCACGTCTGTCCCGAGGTGACGATCCCGGGACAGTCTCAGGCGTTCAGTGCCGAGACGCTGCGGTGGCTCCTCACGGCCACAGACCTGCCACGTGGCGGACCGCGGGCATCGCCGTTTTGGCTTTCGCTCGGGGGTTGATCTCATGGTGGAGGCTGCTCATCATGGTGGGCAATCTAGGCCTCTCAGATGGGGTCCGAGCAGGTGGGGTCGGAGGATCGCGCCGTATCGTCGATGTATTGGCGATGCGGCTCGATGTGGAGGCCGATTTTCTCCACGCTGGAGTCGCCGATGCATCGCCGATGGCGCCAATGCATCGGCGATGCATTGGCGATGTATCGCCAATGTATCGGCGATGCGGTGCGATCCTCCGACCCCATCTACTCCGATCCCATCTAGGAGGCCTCAAGTCAAGGAGCCCTCCTTGACCACGGTGCCCCCGCCTCCAGGCGGTGATGACGATGGTGACCCTGACGGCGATCGGCGTGCTGCAGACCTCGGGGCACGACGACCGCACCGCGAGCGGCCAGAGCACGGCGATCCCTGGGCGGCAGACGGAGAAGACCTGTGGAGTACCGGTGGGGCACGCCGAGTTGGCGGGGGCGGCCCTCTTCTCAAAGTACTTCGGCGCCATGGTGATGGAGGTTGCCCGTCGCCTGCTGAACTGTGCCCTGGCATCCCGTAGTTTCCGTTCAGTGGTGGGGTTCCGTTCAGTGGTGGGGTTCCGATCTCTCGTTCTGGCCATGCTCCTGACAGTGTGGGCCGGGCTGTCGCTGGCCCTTCGCAGTATTTCCCTCAAACGTTGGAGGAGGTGTGTGACACGTTGTTGCATGTACTTCGGGTGCACGATCCTGGCGCTGCTCATGATTGGCCTCGTGAGGAAACACAAGACAACACAATTTGCAAGACGCGTTGCGAATGCTTTTCGCGGTGAGTCGCGTTTTCTTTATCTTGAAAGTGGTTGTTGCGATCTTCGATTGGAGCATGGTGGTTCTCTTCTTGGTGGTGCTCTTCTGAGTGTGTTTGGCGTTGACGCTGGTAAAACCGTTGTTGGTACAGTGGGAAGTCAAGCAGCGGGCGTGGATCCCCGTGGTGATTCTGATCCTGGTCGTGCGGGCACGGATCCTCGCTACGACTCCGATTTCCATCGTTTGTTTTGCATGATGGTCGAGTTGAGGGTGTTGGCGATAAAGTTCGGAGGTCCACGGTCTGTTGTTGGAGCGGACCATCGCCGTCGGCCACGCCCTCTTGCTCTTGACCTCCCTCCCTTTCGTCTTGGCGCTGACAGGGGAACCTGTTGAAGAACATGCCTGGCTAAAGCAAACACCCTGCTCGATTGAACGCTACTGGGAGTGACGGACTTCGCTCCGTCGGCGGCGCGCGGACTTCTTGAAGCACTTCGTCTGCTGAAGCTGACCTGGATGACTGACGGAGTGCCCGCAATGGTTGTCGAGGTGCGTTGCGGAGTTCAAGCCGTCCGTCTAGTACGGGAGCGTTTCTGGGCAGCGGGCCCGTGCTGGTGCGTGTCGCCAGGAGACTGAATCATCGCGGTCCTCGTCAGGTAGTCGCACTGGCTCGTCATCGTGCTTCCTCCTCCTCCTCCTCTGATCCATCCTTTCGTCATCCCCCGTTCCTTCTCTCTGCCTCCTTTCTTCCTCCGCCCGCCTTCCCTCACTCCTCGCCCGTCTTCCGTCCTCCCCCTCTTATCCTTTCCCCTCGCTCGCGCGAAGGAGGAGGAGGAGGAGGAGGGACGGCCAGCTCCAACGATGGGATCAGCGCGTGTGGGCAACACGATCAGTTGAGAGGGCCGCGTTGGCAGCAGGATGATGACTTGTATCCTTGTGCCCCTGCCTGACGGCTTCCGCCTGGACGGAGCGATCGAACACGTCAACGAAACAACAACGCGGATGCAGACCATCAAAAACAATGTCCCGAGACATGCCCAGCCTTTTCTCCGCAGTGCGCAGCCACCGAGGGAGCAGTGAGGTCTAGTTAGGGTGCGCGTGGCCCCCAACTCCGCTGGACCTCCCAGGAACCCACGAAACAAGTGACAGTTGCGGAGTTCGCAACCACCCAGGGAGTTGCGAGGGCGAGTCTGGATCTGTCTACCCTTCTACCCCGCTGTGCCTCCCAGGAGCTCACGAACGTGGCGACACTTGCGCAGGTCGCATCCCCCAGCGAGCAGCGATGTCTCGTCTAGGTGCTTGTGGCTCCAGATTCCGCTGCACCTCCCAGGAGCCCACGAACGTGGCACGAGTTGCGCAGCTCGCAGCCGCCCAAGGAGCAGCGAGGCTTCGTCTGACTGCGCGTGGTCTCCGACCCCGCCGTGCCGTTCAGAACCCAGCGAAAGTGGCGACAGTTGCGAAGTGCACAGGGCCCCAGGGAGCAGCGAGGTCTCGGCTGGGTGCACGTGGCCCACGACTGCGCTGGATCTTCCAGGGGCCCATAACAGAGGCGATGAATGCACAGTTCGCAGTCACACAGGGAGCAGCGAGGCTTCGTCTGGGCCCGCGAACTCCTCTACCCCGCGGTACTCCCAGCAGCTTGCGAACGTGGCGACAGATGCGCAGAGCGCAGCCACACAGGGAGGTGCACGGTTTTGGTTGGGCGCGCGTATTCCACCCACCCCGCTGGACCTCCTTGGAGCCCACGAACGCGGCGACAGCTGCGCAGTTCGCAGCCACCCATGGAGCTGCGAGGTCTCGATTGGATCCGTTTGCTCCCCGATTCCGCCATGCCCCCCAGGAGCCCACGACAATGGCGCCAGCTCCGTTGAACATGTTTACTCCCCAATGCCGCCGTGCCTCCCAGGGGCACACGAAACTGGTGACAGTTGCGCAGTTCGCAGCCCCAACACCCCCAGGGAGTTACGAAGTCTCGGATGGATCAGTTTACTCCCCGACTCCGTTGGAACTCCCAGGAGCTTACGAAAGCGGAACCAGTTGCGAATTTCGCAACCACCCAGGGAGTTGCGAGGTCTCAAATAGATCCGCGTGTCCCCCGACTTCGCTGGTCCTCCCCAGGAGCTCACGAACGTGGTGACAGTTGGGACTTTTGCAGCCACCCAGGGGGCTGCGAGGTCTCGGCTGGATCCGTTTATTCCCCAACTCCGCCCTGCCGTTTGGAAACCAACGAGATTGGCCCCAGTTGCACAGTTTGCGCCCCCCGCCAGGGAGCCGTCAGGTCTAGTCTGGATCCGTTTATACCTTACTCCGCCGTGCTTCCCAGGAGCTCACGAACGTGGCGACAGTTTCGCAGCATGCAGCCACCACACCCAGGGAGCTGCGTGGTCTAGTCTGGGCCCGCGAACTCCTCTACCCCGCCGTGCCTCCCAGGAACTTGCGAACATGGCGACAGTTGCGCAGTTCGCAGCCACCCAGGGGGCTGCGAGGTCTAGTCTCGATCCGTTTACTCTCCTACTCCGCAGTGCCTCCCAGAAGCTCACGAAAGTGTCGACAGTTGCACAGTCCGCAGCCCCCAAGGGAGCTGCGAGGTCAAGTCTGGATCCGTTGACTTCCCACTTCCGCCGTACCTCCCGTGCGCTCGCGAAGGTGGCGCCAGCTGCCAACTCGCGGCCCCACCCCAGGGAAGTGGCGACGGGCGCGCAGTTCGCAGCCTCCCGGCCCAGGGAGCAGCACAGGAGCGGCCTCTGGAGGCGGCAACGCGCACGTGCGCGAGGTGTGCACGCACCAGAGCCCTGGGAGTGGAAGTTGGAGGGGTGGGGCGACAACGGGAGCTGGAGGACGGTGTCGCCTTATTCTTTAAGACATCGGCATTCTTTCGCAGTCGAAATCGAAGCCTGGTGCCCACCTCTGTCATTAACCTCCCATAGCCAGCCAAAGTAGTTGCACTGGCTCTGCGCGAATCACGAACTTCCTGAGACACTCGAGTTGGGCCAGCAGTCCGCTGGGCCCAATCGTCAGCTTCAGCATTGCCAGCTTTCTCAAGAGCCGTGGTCAAGCCTTGCTCAGTGATCCTTGACCCCTGACACTTCGTAAGGACAGCTGGTCATGTCCTTCCCAGTCGTCGATCTTATCCCAGACAAGGCGCCTCCTCCTCCCCCCTCGTCCTTCCCTCCTGCATCCCTCCGTCCTGCCTCCTATTGCTCCCTCCCTCCCTCCTCTTTCTCTTCCTCCACCCTTCCTCCATTTTCGTCGCTGGTAGCGGCCCAGCGCGTTGGGTCTCTCGTGTCCCAGGCTAGAGCGCGGCGAGTGTCGGTTTCCTTGGGCCCCGCTCATTTGCCCCTTGTCTTCAAATCGTCACGACGTTCCTCGGGCAGGGTCGAACCTCCTTCCTCCTTTGGGCGGTTCAAAGGTGCGAGAGGAGGGGGTTCCAGCTTAAACTTGGAATATGCATTGCTTGAGGCCCGTCGACCTTGCGAACTTGAGCCCCGTTTACTAACTGCCGATGCTTCCAGTACCCTATCGTCCCCTCCTCTTCCCTCCCTCCCTCTTCCCTCCTCATTTCCCCTTCTCCACTCTTCTCTTCCCCCCTCTTCGAGAACGTCGTCGTCCTCTTACCCCCCTTGGCGGCGCGCCGCCGGTTTGTCCGTCGACGCCTCCGCCGTCGGCGTCGTCGCAGGGAACCTCGGCGTCTGTCGGCGTCGGCGGGGTCGTCGCCGGCGCCGTCGGCGTCATCGGCGTTGGGTCTGTCAGCGGTGGCGGCTGCGGCGGCGGCAGCGCAATCGGTGCCGTCGGCGTCGTTGGCGTCCGACGGCGTCTCCCGGCGCCGGCGACGTCGTCGCCCACGGCCTTGGCCCAGGCGGTTCTGCCCCTGGCGTGGTACGTGGAGTCCAACGTGCCCGTGCTGGCGCTCTGGTCTGTGCACGCAGGCGGCGCCCTCGCCGACCACCCGCGCGGTGGCTCCCCGCCGCCCGCCCCCGTGCAGTCAGCGGGGCAGAGGGGCCGAGACGAAGACGGCTCACCAACCGGGTGGCGGCCACGACGCCGACGGCGACGACGCCGACACCGCCGCCGTCGGCGCCCTCGTCCTCGTGAATCATCCTCCTTTTCCTCCCCTCCTCCCCCTCGCCGCCCTCCTCTCCACCGCCGCCCTCCTCGCCACCGCCAGCCTCGCCGCCGCCGCCCTCGTCCTTGCCGCCGCCGCCGCCCTCGCCGCCGCCGCCGCCCTCGCCGGCAGCCGCCAGCGGCGGGCGACTCGCCGCCGATGGTGGCGGCGGCGCCCCCGCCGCAGGCCTGGCCGCGGTGGGCCTGGCCGACCGGCTCGTCCTGCGCCGGCTGCGGTGGCGCCCAGGCCGCGGCAGAGCGCGCGCCCCGCGCGCGCACGGCGGCCGGCCGCGCCGCCTCGCGGAGCGCAGCGCCGCCCCGCGGCCGCGGCGGCGGTCCCAGACGTGCCCGCGGTGGGAAAAGGTCGCGACGGGAGCCTGAGATCCTGTCCAGGCGTCCTCGCCTAGTTTCGGGTCCCGGGGCCCTCGCAGATCGGTGCGGCTCGACGTGGCTCGACGCGCGGCGCAGAAAGAGGGGGTCCAGGGCCTGTCGGGCTCCGGTCGTGATTGTCCGCGATGTTTCGACTTTTTCCCGCCGTAGGATCTCAGGGCTGGTTTCTGTCCGTGTTCGGCTCCGCGGGGCCCTCGCTGGGCCCTAGGGCCGCCCGAAGAAGCCTGGGGAAAGGGCCAGGACTTTCCGGGGACCCCGCGTGGAAAGTCAGCCACGCGCAGAGGGGGGTAGTTGGAGGGGGGGGAGGCTTTTTGGGAGCACCCTGCCTCTAAGAAGCCTTCTTCTCTCCCCCTACCACCCCCCTGCGCGCCGCCAAGAAAGAAGCAAGACAGCGCATGTCTGGGGCGGACCGTCCGTGCAAGCAAGCGGCCAGACGAGCGGCGGGCGTCGTCGGCGGAGGCGGCGGCGGTAAGACAACGGCATGGGCGTCGGAGGCGGCCAACGACGGGCGACGACGATGAACGTCGACGTCGCGACGGCGACCGACGCACTACGTGGTCGTTCGTGATTCGCTCGTCAGTCATTCGTAGTCGCTCGTCGTTGGTCGTTCGTCGTCGACGTGGTGCGTCGGTCTGCTGCCGAACGTCGACAATGTACGACGATGCCGTGGTCGCCGACGAGTGACGACATCGACGTCGTTATTGTTGTTGTCGCCAGCGTGGTTCGTAGATGGTCGTTTGTCGCTCGTCGTTGTCTTCGTTCGTCGGTCGTCAGTCGTCGTTCGTCAATCATCGTCGTGGTGCTGCACGGGGGGAAGGGAGCACCTTCTCCTCGTCTTGGTTCTCCTCCTCTTCCTCCTCCTGGTCCCCTGTGTGCGGGTCAAGATGGACCCCGCACGGGCATCCAAGGCACGGCTTCGGTCAGCGAGGTATTGCGCATCCGCACCCCTCACGCAGGGACACAGGGGGTGTAGCAGAGACGCTCCGACACCGTCCCCGGGCGCCATGGCCGCCGACGACGACGACGATCGACGACGCCCCCGCCGACGACGACGACGGGCCTCCGACCGACGCCGGAGAAGACGGGGAGGAGGACGGCGAGGTCGAGGATCGAGGGCTCCAGGGCGAGTCGCTGCTTGTGTTCTGGGGGCGGCCAGGCCGGATTCCCCTCGAAGCGCTGGCCAGGACGAGTCCCTGGAAAGATGTTGGGGTCGATTTGGCAGAGTGGAGGCGAGCGACGACGTTCTCGAGGGGAAGTGGGCGTGGCGATGCATTTGTTCAGGAGGGAGAAAAGCACAAGCGCAAGTATTCGTCGATTCGCAGGAAAATGTGGGAAAGATGGGAAGCGGAGGGGAAGACGAACATCCATGAAATATGAAACATATTGGGAGGATTCCTGGGATATGTTTCGATTCATTTGTGTGTGTGGCCCTGGGCGCCTTCATTGTTTCGTCATTGTTCGGCGTCTCGAGGCCCGCTTGGGGCCACGTGGCTGTCACAGACCGATCCAAGATGAGCAGATTGCCAGGACGGACCCTGGGAGGGGTCCAGGGTCTGACTTTCAGCGAAGAGGGGAGGGCCAGGACGACCGATGAGGACGGCGGTGACCACGACGAAAATGCCCGGCTCGTAAACATTGAGACGCCAGGATCTCAGGGTCCCTCCCTCCTTCCGAGTACCTCCCGCCCGCAGATGCGCCGCCTGGTGGTATGCCGTCCCCTCCAGCAAAATTAGCCTGGCGAAGGACCCAACCATATGCAGTTGTGAATGCCGCAATTGTGCTGGGTGGTGGCGGACGCATGCGGGCGGTGCCACTGGGACCTTCGGTGGAGCTCCCTATGGGGCCACGAAACGCTGTACTGGGTGGGTGAGACGCGGTCAGCAAGGGCTGTGCTGCGTGGTGGCGGACGCATGCGAGCGGTGCCAGTGGGACCTTCGGTGGAGCTCCCTATGGGGCCACGAAACGCTGTACTGGGTGGGTGAAACGCAGGCAGGGAGCAAGGGCTGCGCAGGGTGGTGGCGGACGCATCCGGGCGGTGCCGCTGGGACCTTTGGTGGAGCTCCCTATAGGGCTACGACGCGCTGTTCTGGGTGGGCGAAGCGCACGGAACAAAGGCTGTGCTGGGTGGTGGCGGACGCAAGCGGGCAGTGCCACTGGGACCTTTGGTGGAGCCCCCTATGGGGCCACGAAACGTGCGAAGGGTGTGCCAGAATGGGGTGTGGAACCGCATGCCAGCGCAGCCACTGGGGCCTTCGGTGGAGCTCCATATGGAGCCACGAAGCGTGTGAGGAGTGTGCCGAAATGGGGTGTGGAACCGCATGCGAGCGCAGCCACTGCGGCGTTCGGTGGAGCCCCCTATGGGGCCACGAGACATGTGAAGGGCGTGCCGAAAAAGGGGGTGGAACCGCATGCGAGCGTAACCACTGGGGCCTTCGGTGGAGCTCCCTATGGTGCCACGAACCGTGTGAGGGGTGTGCCAGAATGGGGGGTGGAACCGCATGCGGGCGCAGCCACTGGGGCCTTCGGTGGAGCTCCCTATGGGGCCACGAAACGTGTGAGGGGTGTGACAGAATGGGGGGTGGAACCGCATGCGGGCGCAGCCACTGGGGCCTTCGGTGGAGCTCCCTATGGGGCCACGAAGCGTGTGAGGGGTGTGCCAGAACGTGGGGTGGAACCGCATGCGGGCGCAGCCACTGGGGCCTTCGGTGGAGCTCCCCATGGGGCACCGAAACGTGTGAGGGGTGTGCCAGAACGGGGGGTGGAACCGCATGCGGGCGCAGCCACTGGGGCCTTCGGTGGAGCTCCCTATGGGGCCACGAAACGTGTGAGGGGTGTGCCAGAATGTGGGGTGGAACCGCATGCGGGCACAGCCACTAGGGCCTTCGGTGGAGCTCCCTATGGGGCCACGAAACGTGTGAGGGGTGTGCCAGAATGGGGGGTGGAACCGCATGCGGGCGCAGCCACTGGGGCCTTCGGTGGAGCTCCCTATGGGGCCACGAAACGTGTGAGGGGTGTGCCAGAATGGGGGTGGAACCGCATGCGGGCGCAGCCACTGGGGCCTTCGGTGGAGCTCCCTATGGGGCCACGAAACGTGCGAGGGGTGTGCCAGAATGGGGGGTGGAACCGCATGCGGGCGCAGCCACTGGGGCCTTCGGTGGAGCTCCCTATGGGGCCACGAAGCGTGTGATGGGTGTGCCAGAATGGGGGTGGAACCGCATGCGGGCGCAGCCACTGGGACCTTCGGTGGAGCTCCCTATGGGGCCACGAAGCGTGTGAGGGGTGTGCCAGAATGGGGGGTGGAACCGCATGCGGGCGCAGCCATTGGGGCCTTCGGTGGAGCTCCCTATGGGGCCACGAAACGTGTGAGGGGTGTGCCAGAATGGGGGGTGGAACCGCATGCGGGCGCAGCCACCGGGGCCTTCGGTTTAGCTCCCTATGGAGCAACGAAACGTGTGATGGGGTGTGCCAGAATGGGGGGTGGAACCGCATGCGGGCGCAGCCACTGGGGCCTTCGGTGGAGCTCCCTATGGGGCCACGAAACGTGTGAGGGGTGTACCAGAATGGGGGGTGGAACCGCATGCGGGCGCAGCCACTGGGGCCTTCGGTGGAGCTCCCTATGGGGCCACGAAACGTGTGAGGGGTGTGCCAGAATGGGGGGTGGAACCGCATGCGGGCGCAGCCACTGGGGCCTTCGGTGGAGCTCCCCCTGGAGCACGGAAACGTGTGAGGGGTGTGCCGAAATGGGTGCGTGGGTTGACGGCATGCCTGGGCGCGGGCACTGGGCCTTCGGTGGAGCTCCTATGGAGCCACAGCGAAAAACGGGTGAGGGGTTTTGTGCGATATGGGTGTGGGTGTCGCATGCTGGCGCAGGGCACTGGGGCCTTCGGTGCGAGCTCACCTTGGGGCCACGAATACGTGCGAGGGGTGTGCCGAAATAGGTGTGGGTGAAGCGATGCGGGCCGGGCACTGGGGCCTTCGGTGCGGGCACGAAAACGTGGTGGTGGATCTTTCCTATTTTTGCCGAAAGATGTGTGGGTGACGCATGCGGGCGCGGCACTGGGGCCTTCGTGGAGCTCCTATGGGCCACGAAGCGTTGGCTGTGAGGGGTGTGCCGATTTGGGTGTAGGTGACGCATGCGGGCTGTGGCACTGGGGCCTTCGGTGGAGCTCCCTATGGAGCCACGACACGGTGTACTGGGTGGGTGAAGAGGAGAGGAGGAGAGGAGGGGAGGAGAGGAGGAGAGGAGAGGAGAGGAGAGGAGAGGAGAGGAGGCGGAGGAGGAGAGGAGGAAGGAGACGCGGGGCACCGTCTCTTCAAAACGAGGACCCAACACCACAGGATGGTTGGGGGAAAAAAACGTCCATACACCTCCCTTTAAACCACCTAAACCCTTCCAGCATTCAGCGAAACCGCCCAATGCATTCCAAACGCCTTCCAAAAACC